CAGCTAGTACAGAAACCATTTACACTTGGATTGGGAATAATTCATATTTCTTCTACTAAACCATTGCATGATTTTTCCTTTTTACTTTTTGGGTTTTTTTTTTTTTTTTTTTGATTAGGTCAATGTTAAAAGTTAAGGAATGTAAATTATGAAACACCAAAAGAGATGAGTTTGCTGCTGGCGGTATTAATTGCCTACAGTGTCTTAGCATTCATTATGTGCTAGGCATTCTTCTAAGGATCATATACATATTTTCTCACTAACCCTTTTAACAATCGTAAGGTGGGTACTGTTACTTTCTTTACTTCACAGTTGAGAAAACTTGGGACCAGAGAGGTTAAGTAAATTGCCCAAAGTGACACAGGAAGAAAGTAGTAGAACTAGGCTGGGCGTGGTGGCTCACACCTGTAATCTCAGCACTTTGGGAGGCCGAGGCAGGTGGATCACCCGAGGTCAGGAGTTCAAGACCAACCTGACCAACATGGCAAAACTCCATCTCTACCAACAATACAAAAAAATTAGCTGGGTGTGGTGGCGCCCACCTGTAATCTCAGCTACTTGGGAGACTGAGGCGGAAGAATCGCTTGAACCTGGGAGGTGGAGGTTGCAGTGAGCCAAGATCGCACCACTGCACCCTAGACTGGGTGACAGAGTGAGACTCCATCTCAAAAAAAATAAAATAACAATAATAATTATTATTTTTTAAAAAAGAAAGTAGTAGAACTAGAATTCAAACTTAAGGCATTTGATTCTTAATTCTGCACCCTTAAATTTGTAGCTTAATACAGAAAGGAAATCTATAGCTAAGGAAACTGAGAATCAGAGACAGCAGCTCAGTTGCTCCAGGTGGCACAGTTAATAAGCAGCTATACCCAGCCCAAGTCTGTGTGATTCCCTCAGGTTGGGCTATTTTCTTCATAGCACTTGTTTCAAGAAGGGAGTACGTCCATTTAATGATAAAAATGAAAACAACACCACCAAAAATCTCCGTTGCTCCAAAAAAAAAAAAAAAATCAAACAAACAAAAAAACCCTGTTGCTCCTTGTGTTTGCTTATTCTTTTAGGCTGGCCCTGCCAAAAGACTAAATATTTCTGCTTCCAAGGTAAAAGGCTTGGTGGCAATAAATCAGTGTACATAGGTGTGCCTCACTGTACATTAGCATTTCCCCGAAAAGGTGCGAGCTTTTTTTTTTTTTAGTCAATCATTGTTTGTGCACATTTTGAAGACGTTTATCTTCCTTTATCAAGGCTCTTAGCAGCTGCCTCCCACATTTGTTTCTTTTCTTTTTTCCTTTGCTTTCCCAGCTTCTCTAAATACTTTTTTTTTTTTTTTGAGACGGAGTCTTGCTCAGGCTGGAGTGCAGTGGCGTGGTTTCGGCTCACTGCAGCCTCTGCTTCCTGGGTTCCAGCAATTTTCCTGCCTTAGCCTCCTGGGTGGCTGGAATTACAGGTGCATGCCCCCACAGACAGCTAATTTTGTATTTTTTAGTAGAGACGGGGTTTCACAACCATGTTGGCCAGGCTGGTCTCAAACTCCTGACTTCAGGTAATCCACCTACCTCGGCCTCCCGAAGTGTTAGGATTACAGGCGTGAGCCACTGTGTCTGCCACTTCTTTAAATACTTAATGATCAATAGTACTTCTAGAAAATACTGGCTTGAAATGATTATTGGTGCTATTTACTGATTTAAAAATAGCAATATTTCCACCTTGGGCAGCACCAGGTCTGCTTGTTGCCCCAGGTTGGTCCCTGGTAATTGTGTTTTCTTCTTCTGTCCCTCCATGTCTGTCACTCGTTAGGCAGATAACTCCCGAGTTGGAGGTTTCCTCCTACATAAAAAGGGATCTGATTAAATGAGCTGATGTCCTCCTGAGATCCTAAAAATCTTTTGTTCTGGAATTGGCGGCTAGCAGAGGTTAGCTCTGTCCTTACCCCGGCCCCTATGACTGGCCTCCCTTCCCCAGGCCAACTAGTGTCAGAAAGAATCAACCAGCAGCACAATAAATAATTGATCTTCAACATGTGCTTCTAATTCAAATAAAGGGCATTTAACCACAGTGAGTATCGCATGTGACTGAAGTATTTTATGTGGAAATTTGAAGATTTCTGATAACTTGCTGTAAAGAAGTTTTCACAGTGACTACATCTCCAGGGGCCCTTTCTATCTCAAGTTCAAGTTACTTAGACAGTGATTAAAGACCTTTTATAGGCCCCTGTGGTAAATGATAGCATAGAGGAAGAAAAAAAAAAATAGCATTCGTTGGCTATGTAATTTAGCAAGACTTAACCTATTTGTTTGAGTTTTCATCCATCGGGCTTGCTGAAATACTTTAAATAATTAACCTGTTTCTCTGCAGCCTGAAGTGTCCCCAGAGTTTCCATTCCAGGCCTGAGATGAGTGATTATCCAGCACAGATTGCCTTATTTATTTGGAAGACTCTCCATCTCAGTCCAGCTGCTTTTTCTTGGGACAGCAGACAGACCCTGGACATGGTATCCTTTTACGTTACAGTATTTAGAAAGTAGAATAAATCAGCGAGATCCAAGAGCAAAAGGCTATAGTTTATTTTATTCACTTTATTTTTGTTTTTTTCTACTGTCCCTTCTAGGTGCTCAGCAACTGAATCTATCGAATTTCAAAACATGTAGAGGTGTCGACGTAAGTCTCCAAACTCCACACAGAGAATCCCAAACCACAAGTTTGGACATTTCCAAGGAAAGAAGCACAGGGTGGCAGGATGAGGCAAGAGGCTGCTTACTCCAAGCCAAATCTCATGACCCAACCGCATAGTCGTAAGAGGAGTGCGTTCAGTTGCTTTAGGAAACCAAGAGCAGTGAAAGAAACACTTGGGAATTTACTGGTAGATAAGGTTTTTCTGATCGAAGAAAAGCTACAAAGTAATGCAGACCAAGGGTGATTTCTGGGCAGCATTATGATTATGTCTTTTTAGGAAAATGCCCCTTCTCAGGGACCTTACTTGCTGTCTGCCCACAGATTTATCTGAACTGAATCTCGGTTACTAGTTTTTGCTTTCAAAGACCTCCTATCTAGGGGAACATTTGAAAAGAATTTACCAAGCACTTCTCTGCTGCATAATCTGTCTGTGTGTTCTGTGTTGACGCCAACTTGCATTTTACATGTGGAGCCAAAAGCTCTCTTCTCGGGAGCCTGGGTCATACTGCTCCTTTAAAAATGAAAGTGAGAGAGAGAGAGGCCACGCTGATTTTAGAATTGAGTCAGGGCTTTGTGATTTATAGAGTACCCAGGGTGAATAGGCGTGGCTTCTAGATATCCACAGGCAAATCTTACCCTAAAAGACACAGGACTTTGCACACGCCTTGCAGAACATTCACAACAGAAGAATCAAGGCTTGTAACCGATGAGACTCATAGATGGAATATATTAAACTGAGTAGAATCTGGTGCCTAATAATTTACATAAAAGTGGCCCAGAGAATCTACTCAGCACATGTCCTGGCCAACTCAGAAATTAGGAAATACAAATATTTAAAGAAAAATCTGGATTCCTCTGTGTGTATTTGAAATCCTCTCAAATATGCTAAATGGATGCAGTTTGGTCTTGGTAAGGGATAGAGGGCCTGAGACAGTATTAGCGGAGTTTGATTTTTTTGCCCAACTTGTGCAGTGCCTGCTTTATTGAGGTTTCTGTGGATTTTAGACCATTCACCTTTAGTGAAAGTCCCAATAAAACACAGAATGTAATTATGTTGGGGGGAAGAAAGAAGCAAAAGAGCAGGAGGCCTGGTTAATCCTTTTATCAAGGTAGAAAGAAAGAAAGAAAGAAAGAAGGAAGGAAGGAAGGAAGGAAGGAGGAATGGAAGGAAGGAAGGAAAGGAAGAGAAAGAAAGAAAGAAAAAGCAAGCAAGCAAGCTAGCTAGCTATTTCCACAGTGATTGACTTCATCAACTGTCATGGACAAGCACAAGTTGGACCTAAGTTGTGCATCATTTTTTTTTTTCCTACCAGCCTTGTTTCCTGGATAATTTCCCTTAGGTATATTGCTCACGGTGTCAATTATAAATCATATTTATTTTCACTCATGAAAAAGACGTCTGGAGATATGCAATCTAAGGCTGCAGTCTTTCCTACCTTTCTAGTTTCCCTTGTAGGGGTGTCCTTGATTTGCATTCTTACAAGGTGGCTTCAAGAACATAAGCTACCAAGTTAGAAGTCCAGATGGAAAGAAGGGTGAGCAGGGAGAGGAACAGGGCATCTGCCAGCCAAGTCAGCTTAAAAGCTTTCATAAAAGCCGCACCCAAAGATTCCTGCTAACATCTCATGTGCCAGAACTATGCCAGTTAACCCTACCCTCCAGCAACCTGCATCGGGACTGGAAATACAGCTGTAATTTTTTTTTTTTTTTAAACCTGAACACATTGTTTTCCAATTAGGAATTCGTTAGGGAAAAGAAGATGATTGGAGAGTCGATGAAATGGAAATTTAAAATATCCAGCTTACTATGTTATTGTGGGGATTAAATCTATGCGTAAATCACTTGATAATACTCACTAATCTGGTGGCACATGAAAATAATATTTTCTTCTCTCTCCCTAGTCTTACTCACTTCTCCAGGGCCCTGTTCAGAAACCAGAGCACACAGTGGAGCAATACCTTGATGCTACAATTTGTTTTTTATCTAATTAACGTCACCGAATAATTTCATTTTAGGGGAAAAAGTAGATGGCATAAGAGAAAATACTCACCCAACTTCTCATTATTGGTAGGGCATTTGAAACTAGAATTGCCATTTTACATAGAACCTGCTCGTGATACTTACAAAAACAACCAACTTTTACTTCAGATATACCTGTTCTACAAGCTTTTAAAAAAAAACCATAAAAATGCTTTACAATGCTGCCTATGTTCTATTTATACGAAGCAGCATTCTTATTTTTGGTGCACTGTACCCAATGCTGACTGCGTCAGCAAAGATACCTTATACCACTGAAAATATAGGTATATGTACACACTTTTTGCATTAAGATCTTTATTATTAAGTAATTCACTGGGGTTGTCAAGTATGTTATAAAATTACACAGATAATTAGAGATAAATATCACATAGAAATGCTGATTTTACATTCTCTTCTGAGTACAAGCATTTGATTATAGAGGCTCAGAGCACAACAAAATGTATTTCACGGGACATTGATGCCCCATTCTGATATTGACAAGGCAAACATTAGCAGTAGCGGACTCAACAAAGCAAAGCAAGGTGACATGAAACTAGATGTAGGTCAAAGGTAAAACAAGTTAAAAAATTTTTAAGTGTTTTTGTCTATTGTCATGGTGACTGTTTTCTACTTACAAGATTGCAGTACTCTAATTTAGCCAAGTAATTGCTGCTGTACAATCCAAATCTACGGTGTGCATAAATTTTTAAATGGAGTGTGCATTCCTCAAGCAGGACTAAAAATCATCTTACTTGGGTCTCTAATATTAAGCTTCAGAACAGTTTTACAACTTTTGACCTGAACAAATCTCTTATCCATAAAACAACAGGAATAAAAGACTGCACATGTGAATTTAAAAAGTAACTTTATTACTCCCAGGCCAAAAAAAAAAAAAAAACAACATGAGGGAAAAGGAAGGAGAAAGGGAAGGATGGGGGAGAAGGGAAGAAAGAAAAGAAAAACAAAAAAAGAAAAAAAAAACAGAAAAGAAACAGAAAGGCACTCTATCTACCTATACCTATATATTTTACTTTTATTTATAATCTTGGACTATGTAATTTGGTTCATTCACTTGTGTGTTTTAATTTAAATTGAGAGAGAAAGAAAGAAAGATTTTCCAGAAAAAGCAAAAACTGGGTGTGTGTGTCTGTGTGTGTGTATTTAAATGAAATAAATAATAAAAACTGTGCCACATACTTACTGCCAGTGCAGCAACAATGTAAAACAGACACAAAACACAAAGAATTCTGAATGTACCTAATATTTGTTTGATTTATAAAGTTTAAAGTGACTCTTTACTCATAGGCCAGTGGGTGTGGGCTTAAAGTAATCATGACTAACATCTTTTAACATGAAAGTAGAGTATACAACTTTATCTCATGTTATAAAATTTAAGAAATTTCATTGTACTCAGATTATCCACTTACTGTGCATTAAAATCACTTTAATTGAATTCTATCTCACAAAATCCTTCATTTAAATGGTTGTTCCAAGTTCAATAGAACAGTTTCTTGCAATCCACAACTTGAGTCATTTGTGTCTTGTACAGTAACCAAGATTAGAAGCATACATAACTGCTTCTGGGCACAAATAAGTATCTGCCTCCCCACCCTCCCCCCAAAAAAGTTCTATCCTTTATGTAGCAGCCAAAGTTGCAATCTTTCGGCACTAGCAAGCTAGCAACAGTTTCTCTCCAAGGGTCTGAGAATGTTTCTCGCTGCTAACCATCCCCTCACCTCATCTATATGATCCTGTCCTTTGGTCACGTCCTGGAAGAAGGTGGGACATGAACATAGAACCTCCCCTTCTCAGAGAACCTAGCAAAGTTATGGTTGCCTTATTTCTGGTCTCCATTTGTTGGAGTCAACCAGAGACTTTAAGAGAGAAATGCTGCTCTAAATACTGTTAACTTTTCTTCTGCCTCATCGGTTAGAGAAAAAATCGCTTCTAGCTCTCATTGATCACTACCTGGGCAAGTGGCAGTGGAATTGGTGGCATGGACAATTTCTTACAGCCACTAGCTATGCTCGCTGAAACGAAGACCATCCAAGTGGCAAACCAAGTGACTTGAACTGGTGAGCTGATTTCACAGTTACATTTCTCAACATTACAGCTTACTGAATGCATCTTTTGCCTATCTTGGTTAGATATCATACTTTTTATAGCAAACCTTCATTGTATTATCAATGTTGACATATTTAAAAATGTATTACTTATGCTGTCTTACTTGTCTTTTCATTTTTATTTATTCTAGCCTCCTTCCTGCCTTCATATCCCCATATTTGAATACTACACCTCCAACTGAAGATACAAGTATATAAGATAATAAAAAAGATACATTTCAATCAATTAGGCTTCTTAATAGCATTCTTAATACAAAATTGGCTAACAAGAAAAATTTTAATAATCGAGAACTATGGAATTTTTAGATTATCTTTTACCAAGTTTAACTTACTCTACTTACCCAGCATCATCACAAAACATAGCTATAACACTTTCAAAAAGGCCATGTTTACAACGACTTGCCTACGGTGATTGGCTGGAAGATAAAATGATTTAGTGGTAGCCCTCATAATCACAATTTAGGACTACATTTGGGATTCCACAGAGATTCTGTTTAAAGTCAGGAGAGCTTTCTGATAAGGTGTTTCCCTATACTCATGTGCGGCAGAAGTGGTGGTTTCCTCAGGATTTTCACAGCTGCTGACAATGGCAACGGCACTAAACGACCTTCGTCTCGCCTTGGTGTCTGATGTGCAGGATCCTCGAACTGGCGGTGCCTTTTCTATGTGGAGCTGCTGGTCTTTCCAGTCCAATTGCTTGGCACTGCAAAAGGGGGCATATACTTCCACACTTCCTTCAAACTGTAAGCAGTTCACTTTGTAATACTTCCTCTTAACTTCCAAGACATCATTAAACCTATGGCCCCAGAGAATTTCTCGGGGAACATAGGAGCTTCTAGATTGGTGGGATGTTCCCGTGGAATCACCAGTATAGATAAATGTCACCAAAATCTCAAAGTTATCTTTGGCTACTGCTTTGCGGTCAAGGGCATACAGAGGGCTCTCGTGGTCAATTTCATGGACAATAGTTACCGGGGTGACCAGGATGATTTGGTCATTGACTAATTTGAGGTCTTTAAATGCCATTGTCATCCTCCCCTCACTGTCTTCTGTGTAGCGGAGAAGTTGGGCTCTAACTGTTCCTTCTACCACGTGGTTTGGCCGAAAATCACCAATGCGCCACATGAGGCAAAGCTTCCCATCCCTCATGCCTATAAGTGCAAAGTAGCTGAAACGAATGGTTTGGGCTCTCTTTCGAGCAGTTGCCATTTTGGCCAAGGCAGCTCCAATGATAAAGGTATTTATGATGCAACTTAAGATGGACTGGAGGATCACCATGAGCACGGCCACAGAGCATTCTTCAGTAACACAGCGATAACCATATCCTATGGTGGTTTGGGTCTCAAGGGAGAACAAAAAGGCCCCTGTGAAAGAATGGACGTTGTCAACACAAGGTGTGATGCCTGGATCATTTAATAGATCGCCATGATGAAGGGCTATGAGCCAAAAGACAGAGCCAAATATCAACCATGAGAGAATATAAGATAAAGAAAATATCACAAACATATGGCGCCACTTAGTGTCCACAAGAGTGGTGAAGATGTCAACCACATAGCTTCCCCATTCTCCAAAAATGTGCTTGAAGTAGACATTACAGCTGCCATCTTTGTGAAGCAATCGTCTTCTTGCTCTTCTCTTCTCAGCTATAATGTGCTCTGGTGGGTAGCCTGGGTATTTTGCATCCACATTGACAATATGATAGCTGCTGCCGTAATAGCTCATTCTTTGCTGTGCCCTTAGGGATCCAGGTGAATTTTGTAGTAGTAAGAATTCTAGATGTGTTGCTATTTCTTGGTTTGGGTTTTCAGTTAGAACCTAAACAACAACAACAACAAAAACACACTTTTAGCTTTTGATGTCCACCTTCCTAGAAACTTGCCAAATTTGGAGCAGTGTCATACCATCTAAAATAGCTACTACTTCATCTGAACATCAGCGGCACAGTATTGATTACTCATTTCAGTTTAGAATTCAACCAGTCATTATAGAGGCAAAATATGCAATTAGAGAAAATAACATTTTTATATATGAATAAGGCTTGAGTAAACACTGTGATTATCCCAAATGATGCCTCACTAACGTTTCTGACCTGATATAAAAAAAAAAAATCTGCTTTATTTTTGTGAACTCTTCTTGCATGAGGGTATTTAGAAAACAAAGTAATTGCTAATATGAAAAGGCAAAATACAATTCAGATATGTGTCTAGCAGTCATAAGCTTCCTGTTTAAATCAGGTTTTTCCTTAAAAGAAGGATGCAATAAAGAGTTTCTACTTTCATATCATAAGGTAACTTTCGTAATTGTTACTGTTGTAATAGGTAATCCCTCACCTTCAGCACCTGGCGCTTCCTCTCCCTTCCACGGAGGCTTCTCTTCCTTGTGTACTTCCCAGGACAAACAGAACTGACAGGGGCACTACTTCACATTAAACCCATTTCCCCCTAGCTCCAGCTTCAGTCTTGAAAGAAAAGAAAAAAAAAAAATGCATCTTTCTTAACCTCAGTGGAGCTAAAACTACTCCCAGGTAAGCTTTCAGAAAGGTGTAAAATTGCCTCTGCCTTTGTCTCATAACATCCATCCTTTTTTTTTTTTTTTTTTTTTTTGACACTGGCAGCTCTTCTCTTTCCTTCTGAATAGAGTCCCAAAAATGTGCCAAAGTTGCTAATCTCGTTTCCCTCTTAAAGGGAACACACTACAACTGAACCCTTCTCTCTGGCTTGTCAGTGTTTTCCTGATACTTTCACAGACGTCCTTAGGCAAAATAATTTTTCTCCTTCCAAATTCAGTCTTGAAAAGATCAAGGCAGAACATGCAGCTCTCAACATTTTTAGCATCCATGGTATGACAGGCCAATGGATTTCCCAGCTCAAGTCAAAGTGAAATTTAAAACTGCAACATCAAAATCATCTTGAGTTACTCCTATGCAAAACAAAAAAAATAGAAGTATTGTAGCCAATTTTAATAGCTTAGTAACTATTAGAATATGGGTTTTACACAGTCTACCTGTGCTAGATGGGATGAAGGGAGTATAATGGGGAGACTTTAGGGAATCTTGCCTCTCTATTGCATAGAAAATGCAGTATGAATAAATACTATTCCTGACATAAAGACCCCTTGGAACGAACCAGGGAAATTCATCACTAAATATGTGTTCAGCACCTTCTCTGCTGCAAAAGGACAGAAAGAGTTAACTTCCCTCCAGTGAAAAAGAATCAATTTTCTTTTCCTCCAGGGATCAGGCCCACTTTACAATAAACTCTTTGTTTAATGCACCACTTACAAGGATGGACTCCGCTTAAAGCCAGAAACTCCTGTAAGGCATGTATGGGTTTATCTCTGTCCTCTACCTGCCTGTCGGCCACTTCACTCAGCCATCATCCAGATCAGTTTTGATCTGTTACATCCTCTCCTTTCTCAGCACTTCAACCAGGTTCAGGGGGAACCAATTGTATAATTCCCGGATGTGACCTAGAGCTGTGAAAATGCTTACTGGATGGTTCAATGTAAAATATTTCCACAAATTTTGTCCACAATAACAACCACGCTTTGGAGGTTTCCATCTGTCTGACTTGTCATTGAACAATATTTTACAAACAGAAGAAGCTGATGTATGGTTCTCAGTGTCCACTCTCTCAACTGGTTATAGGAGGCATGAAAATGGGATGAAGTATAATCAAAGGCCCATATGATTTCAAATTAAAAAGCAGATATGGAGATAGAATTATTTTCTTGTTAAATGTGTCCAACCTAGTTCCTTCAAGCGAACTACACACATGGTGGGAGTCTGAGAGTTAGAAAACACCGTTTCATAAATCAAGAGCTACTGTGTGACTCTGCTCTTTTCTGCTGCCAAAAAAATAAATAAATAAATAAATATAAAAGGTTTTATTTGAAATGGCATTCAGTTGGCATCATTTTGAATTCCAGAGGTACCAGCAACTGTTATAAACAAGCCTCTTTCAAAACACCTTCCAAAGTGAATGAATTTTCAATTAATACAAGTTACAAGTGAACAAATTTGAGTGTGTGGAAAATGTACCGTTGAATAACGTAACAATTTGAGAGATACAAGTTACAACTGAAAATTTGGCCCCAAACTCACCGTGTTTCCTGATGTGGTTTCATTACTGTGATCATTAACTTCAACTTAGCCAAAGACAAGCATTCAGATTCTGTTTAGGGCTATACACTTATCCTTTTCTTGAATCTCCAACTATATAAATAACGCATTTTTAAAAAGACAGTTGTCTTTAGGCCAAATGATCATATGTAACCAAATAAATCATATATAATCTGAGCCATTTCTCAGCCTACCCAATGAGCAAAGAAGTCTATGGAGGCCTTTTTGTCACACTGACTAGACGAAATATTTATTAGTCTCCTATTTAGTACTTCGTGTTAATTTCAGCTTTTTTCCAGCTGTTTACCATTAAATAATAGAGGCTAGCACTTGTTCATTGACTAGAATTTTATATTTACCGTTTATATTTCTTAGGATTAAAACTCAGCCTTAAAAGTGCTTTGATGCTTTCGTAATTTTCTTGTCGCCATCAATTCCACCATGAGAACGCATCTGCAATGTTCCTACTTTTGTAATTTTTTGCATGCTGCTCCCTAGACACCGATGGTGGCTATTGAAAGACTTTCCCTTGGACCTGGAAGCTGCCAGGTGGGTGGTGAGTAACTCCTCCCTTCTCAGGCCCAGTCCCAAGGCTCAAGACCACTTGCACCAGCAGCCTGGGTCAGCAAGATAGCAGAAACAGGAAGAGAGGAGCCGGAAGACACGTACCTGCTGAAGACCCAGAGGCCGTCCTGGGACCGCATAGCAGTTACATCAGGCTAAGACACTTCCTGTTTACAGGAGACTATATAAACCCCTGCCCCTAGTCATTTGGTGCTGACGCCATTTTAGGCCTCAGCCCGTCTGCGCCCAGGCGCTCATTAAAACAGCGTGTGGCTCCACAACGCCATGTGGTGTTTGTTGGCGCACTCTTGGGGTTTGAACTGATACAACAGCCTTGCAGCTATTTCACTGGTTTAAAGGTTTTTTTCTTTTTTTTTTAATTGCAAATGAAAATTACTATCAACTATCATTACAAAGCTGCAGAATATAAAGTTCAAAAGAAAACGCTGAATCAGGTAAGGTCTATTCTGCCATATAATAATGACAAAGGTAGTAAAAGCACAGCCATTTCTTTGCCTAGAAATGACTTAGAGTTCTTGTATAGATGAGGCTAGAGAAGAGGCAGTGCCCTCAGGATGGTGAAGCGTTTCCTCAGAATGCCATCAACGTTTATTAAATGCGCACAGACACTGAGGAAAGCAGCCAGAGACTCCCTGATTTACTTCATCCCACGGGGAGGACTGAGAGAGGGGAAGGTAGAAGGGACAGTAACCCCAACCCTGATAACCACTTTTCTTATGTCTTACTCATTGTCTTAAGCTCAGATACAGAAACATTTCTTAAGCTACTGTGACTAGCAGGATCTGCTTTTAGGCCTCAGCTTTCTAAATCTTTGTATGTATTTAAGGAGAAACTTTTAATAATTTAGCACATTTCAAATAAGCTATACACAGCAAGGAACATTCTCAGCATAACATGCACATCCTGCTTATTTGTCCCCGTTTCCAGTACACAAAAGCGTCTCAATTAGACTCATCAATTTTGAAACAATTCCTCTGCCATTATGCCACCTCCTCTCAAAGTCAGCAACTTACCAGGTAAACTCCTCTTGTAGATTGCTCTTCAAAGGTAAGCTCAAACCGAGGGTACCATACAGTGGTTAAGACACTGGTGATAAAACTGGATCTTTCCTGTAGCATCTACTTAATATAATATATTAATATGAATTGTGTGCTTTGTATACTTTGAGATGCACCACAAAAAAGGTCCAAAATTTCTTCAAAAAATCCAGTTCTGAATGTCTGTGGTCTTTGAGGTAACAAGTGCCTTCTTTACCATGTAAAGGACCTGAGGTAGCTAACACATGAAGTCCTCAGTATTCAAGTTACTTTCCTGACAACTATAAGATGAGATAAGTTTTGGTGGAAATTTGAGAGCTGATGGGGTGGAGAGTAGAAGAGATGGCCTAATTCTGTATGCAGGTCATTGCCTTTGAAGACAGGCTTAGTTGGAGCTCTGAGGGAGGGGGAGGAGACAGGGGAGGATGGGACCCAGGGTAGGTGAAGAGTAGGCCAGTAGAGGAAGGTGCAGTTGGATGGTACATTTGGGTGCTGAGAAGCAAGGAGAGAGAGAGGTATTAAGAGTTAGGACAATGCTGGGCCAAATTAGGCTATGTGGCTATTTTGCTCAAAACCTGTTTTACAACTTTTTGCCTTTGCCCTAGAATTATGCAGGAGCCTGAGGCCTGGAATCCTCCTAAGACATTCAGACCCGCTTAAGTGGAGCTCTTCAGTTGGCCGCTGAACTCTTGCTTTACCCAGAACCTACTAGATAACTGTCCATGTTTCTCCAAATACTCCCTGACTCTCTAACTTAAGTTTGTCCTTTGGTGACAAGTCAGTGGCATTCTCAGGTTTCCTTCTCATCCCCAGAGCAAGTTGTCCTATACCTTTTCTTCCCTTTCTGTTCTCTTCTCCCTCTCAACTCTAACCTCTAACCCTAATCCACCATTTTGGTGAATGTGGATTTTACCCCTCTCCTGATATAACTCTACAGTTTCTCCTCCTGAATCAGTTTAAGAAAGCCTTGTGCCAGTTTGCTATAGAAAGGGGTTATAATGTGTTATGAACAAACAAACTGAAAGCTGGAGCTGGGAAGAAATCCAGTGTGACAGCATCACTAGTAACATCTGGAGATCCTGTTTCTAGCCCGGTTTTTCCTTAAGTAGTATCTACATCCTGATTATAAATCGTACCTCTCCCCAAATGTTGCTCTGTTTTATAAAGAAGTAGAAGAAATGTGGAATCTGGGATTACGTTTCTCCATAGTTTTGGATCTCAAGATTGCACCAAAACAATATAAATTGTAATTTTAAGTTATCTAGTTTAGAAATCAAATTCCCATAATATTAGTTTGGTGCAAAACTTAAAACCACGATTTATTTTGCACCAATCTAATGAATAGTCTAAAATAAAATGGTTTTCGGTATTGCAGAGAGGGCCTGAATTAGGAGGCAGACCCCAGTTCCAGGTCTGCCCTCAACTTCCTGAGCATCTTACAGAAATAACTTCTCTGAGCCTCATGGTACTCATTCATGAAATAAGGTTATGATACCTATGTCACCACGTTAGTGTGAAGTTTGAATGAGATAATGAATGGGAAGCCACCTTTTAATGGGTCAGACGCACAGGAGTCATTCAATAATTATTGCTTCAATCTGAGCCCCGTTGTCAAAGGCATTCAAACCAGGGGGACTCCATCTTGGAATAGGAGCTGGGTAAAATGAAGCTGAGACCTACTGTGTTGCATCCCCAGGAGGTTAGGCATTCTTAGTCAACAGGATATTTACAGTTAAAAGAATAAGGTAATCATGTTTACTGAACAGACCTACGACCTAACAGACCCAGGAAATGTCCTGATGTCCTGATATCTTAAGAACAAAAGCATTCTTAAACTAAGAATCAGTTTCACTTTAAAGATAATAATATAGATTCTTGCAGAAGACTGTAGTTACACAAAAATGAACAATCCTTTGTCAAAAGCTCTTGTAGTAAATCACATCTCCCCCATGATTTTTTTCCTTTGTTATATATATAAAAGCATTGCATCCAAGGTGGGCATGTTCCTCCACCTGGTTTTTTGAATGCTCTGCTCTGTCTATACAGTACCTATTCTTTATTCTTTCATTCCTCTGTTTTCTATTTTTCTTTTCTTTGAGACGGAGTCTTGCTCTGTCTCCAGGCTGGAGTGCAGTGGCGTGATCTCGGCTCACTGCAACCTCCACCTCCCGGGTTCA